AAATAAAATTATTACTCAGTTAATATATTTATGTTTAATGTAGTTATATGTTGTAAGTTAAAAAAAATATTATAATATAACACGAGTAAGTCACACAAAACAAGTGTCATACTAAAAATATTATAATATATATATGTTTTTATAAAAGTATTTAAATTTTCACTTATTTTTTCTCATTAATTATAGATTTTAAGGAAAAAAATAGTAAGCACCCGTGTAATACACGGGTGTTGTACTAGTGTTTCTATAAGCACAAGAAATCTATAAAAAAGAAGTTCTTTTATTCATACTTAATTCCTAATATCCGGTTTATATTATATGAGATGCATGATCTTATTATGGTATTATTTTGTAGGAAATTATTGTGCATGGCGGATGCAGGAAAAGCGCGTGGTTACATGAAGGAGATCTAGAGGAAATCATATACTTTTCATGTTTCTATAGTATTTATGGGAAGAAAATCAAAAGGGATCGTGAAGGAAAGAAACAACTTGGAGAATACTCAATGCCTAAGGGAGTTGTATATATCCTATACTTGAAGATCGAATTAAGGCTGCTGACATTCTGATAATCCTCCCAATATTCGAGCTTCAAGTCTTTCAAGTAATATTTTTTAATCATATTTTGTAAAACAAATTAAGATCTTGATCAATTAATATTATATAACAAGAGTAATGCTTCAAAATTAGAAACTTGTAAAAATTAGAAACTTGTCAATATGTAAAAATTAGAAACTTGTCAACAAGTAAAAAAATGATGTATTATTGATATATCCTTGTATACAATGTTTTTTGTTTGATTTGTTAGTAAACCATTTTCTCCAAAATTTCAGTCGATGACACAAAAAACAACATATAATCATTGGTCGTGACAAAATATTGCGTTATTCAATAATAAGCCAACATGTGAGAAAGAGCCGCCTTGACTCTACTTTATGGTCATGGCATGATGAAACATAAGTGGAAAATGCATGATGAAAGTTATATGTAACTGTATGTATTGTTTAAGGTTTGTAGAATATGATTAATCTTACATTCTTCCCTAATTACCTATTTATATGGAGTTATTAGCTTCTCCCGTACGCTTTGTTCCTCGTCTGTCATATCATTTATTCATCTTTTATCATGATTCTACACGTGTTCCTTATGGTTCACTTTTTTATAACTGTCATCCTAGCTCGGCCCTTAGCCTAGCTTACTATTGTGGCGAGCTCTCCACACTTCCAAGCCTTGCCACTAGCCAAGCTACTACTAAGGCGAGCTCTCCACACTTCCAAACCCTGGCCCTGGCTTAGCTATTTTAGTGACGAGCTCTCCACATTTCCAAGCCCTGCCCCTAGCCGAGCTACTACTAAGACGAGCTACTATGATGATGAGCTCTCCACACTTCCAAGCCCTACCCCTAGCCGAGCTACTACTAAGACACGCTACTATGATGACGAGCTCTCCACACTTCCAAGCCTTGCCACTAGCCGAGCTATTATTAAGACGAGCTCTCCACATTCGCAGGCCTTGCCACTAGCCTAGCTACTCAAAGATCCGAGCTATTAATATGGATGAGCTGTCCTCAAACCCACCGTCTCAGCTAACACCGATCCATATACCGAGCTGGTATTGTCCGGATTTACCGAGCTACTCTTATGTGCTACATCAAAGATGAGATGATTTGACAAGAAATCTTCATGAGCAGATCATTCGACCACATCGATTTATATAATATGTTAATCTTTTACCGCATAAATTGATGAACATGTTAATCGTGTTCATCGTAAACAGAAAAACGGTACATAGTACATTAAATAAGTTTTGTATTATCTTCAACTACTTGAGAAAGCTTAACATATTTTCCATGAAAATGACAAGAGAGATGGCGGGGTCGAGACTCCAAACTTCACAAAAGCACGAAACAATTAATTACTTAGGAAACATCATTAGGATAATAGAAAGGATAGAAAAATCTAAGAATGATTTATAATCTTAAATTGACTGTGATTATTTTTCTGTCTCCATTTAAGATCAATTTCTGATTATTTTTCGGACATTGACAGGTGACTTCATCCGTGAAACGAAAATTAATCTAAAAAGTGAACACAATGAATTAAGTATAAAACTATAAATTATAAAACCAAATGTCCCACCAAAGAACACAATAAGTCTATTTGCAGATTTATGCTAATTTATATGTAGAGATTTATTTTTTACTAATTCAACTATATTTGTTACAAGTGGTAATTAAATTCTCGTCCTTAATTGAAGATCCAAAATAAATTGACAAAAAGGACCTCCAACAATGGGAAAA